AGTCACATCCCGAGGCTACCGTGGTCACCCAGATCCAGTCCGTATCCAGACCAAACGGTGGATAACAACTTGGGACAACCACAACAGCCCTGAATATCAGCGGAGACTACGACAACTAGACGAGCCGTAGAGACCGATCCACTCCGAAGACCTCATTGCCACGACAGCTATCGGCACAGATCCTAAACCAAGACCATGAGAACTAGACAAGCCTCTGCACAGACTGTGCATGATGGACCCGATCTTCAAGCAGAAGGAGCTGGATGAAATTCAGAAAGATATCAGTCCACAAAACTCTGACCTGTGTTGCAGCCTGGAATTAAACCACACCATGCTGGTTTCGTCTGGTCAGAGGAGAACTGGCCCCCCGACTGAGCCTGGTTTCTCCCAAGGTTTTTTCTCCATTTCTGTCACCGATGGAGTTTTGGTTCCTTACCACTGTCACCTTTGGCTGGCTTAGTTGGGGACGCTTGATATTTGACATTATTATTGACTTGACTGCATAGACACTATTGGAAGAGAACTGAACTGAGTTGTATGATGACATCATTGTTTTCTCCAGAGCTGCTTTATAGATTAATTAAACTAATTTCATAATTGATGGACTTTACACAGTTCTGTCAGGACCACTATCGTCAAAATGATAGATACTTAGCATAAAGTTTGGTTTGGCGGTATGGTTCTGTTCTGGGCAAAAACCTCCCTGCCCATCCATGCAGCCTGTCATGAATGAGCAGGGAGAGCAGCAATAATAACCCCCCTAGGGTTAACAGAACAGAACAAGGCAGATATCATTAATGTACTTAATGATATTTAAGTGTAACACTTTATTCAAGATAAAGGAGTCTGATTAGCAAGGGATATCAGAAAGCCAAGTCCTGACTGTGGCGAAAGGAGGAGCTGGGGATGGAGGAGGGTAATTTGCTCCTGAGCAAGCTGAAAAGCTGCTGAATAATACTGAATAGAGCTTATATAGGAATGCCACGATAGGTGTCGTATTCCTATAGGTAGATGTGATCAGCTGAGAATCAGCTGATGCAAGCTTGACTCACGTGACCTGCCAGAACTAACGCTAAGAACCTTTAAAGAACCATCTTTTTTAGAGTGTATGTTTTAATCAACGTGATCTCATGATAATTCGTATGTATTTTACATAAAATGTGGTTCTATAAAATGTACATTTACTTACGTTTTTACAGACACTAAAACGTACAATACTGACGTATTTTCAGCATCTAAACGTACAAATACATACATATTTTCAGAATTTAAATGTACAGAACTGACGTATTGACGACACCTAAAAATGAATCCTTATGAATATTGAAATCGCGGCATTAATTTTATTAGTTTTTGCATTTTCTCTGACATGCTGTGACTGACAATAGAACTATAAAATACGCCAAATACACAACATAATTACGAAATGAAACAATTTTATTAGTGCGCTGTAATCCAAATCTTCCGAATCCATACGACTGCGAGGAACAGACCCAAATCCAAGCCTTTATTCGGT